AGAGAGAGAGAGAGAGAGAGAGAGAGAGAGCGCACCCGGTCAACCCTCTCCCGCATGGCAGGCTTTCGTACCAGCACTTGATAGATGCAGTGGTTTCGTAAGAGCATGTATGCTGCGTGCAACCCGGAAGGCACGCTTAAAGGCCCAGCGGGTCGTTTTCAGGCGGTTACCGCGGGAGCTGCCCATATAAAATAGTACCCTCGACGCTTTTAAAACATGCACACACGTGGGCAAAAACCGATAAAGTCCGTTGTCGCCTTACGATCCGTAGAAGGCTAGAGATATTACAAGACTTATCAAAAACACCCGTTACCACTAGATTCCTATTTTAACCATTCCTCCCCACGGAAAACAGTCTTAGACGGGAAAATTGGCAAGTTTTCAAAGTGGGCTAGTGACAATAACCACCCAGGTCTGCATGTGCCTGCCCCGCATGTACCTAGGTACCTACCTACTACCCACAAGGGTACGCGAATTGGACTTGGCATAGACGTTGGCTTTCTCGGGTTGACAACCCCCTCGCAGCACCCAACAGAGGGACATAAATATGGGCTGTTGCCCACTGTCGCAATCCCAAGTGTGCTAGCCTCTCTCTACCTCTCCCAGCTCAGCACCCCAGCATACACCCATCCTACCCTAAGTCACCCATCATGTCAGCGCCCGTCAACGGCATATCAGCGGCCGGCCGGCGGCTCTACTGGACACTACAAGGCCCCTTGCCGCTGGCCTCTTCGGTCGTCTCGGTCATGCCCGAGAACCTGAACCCGGACGCGCCGCACGAGCCCTACTATCGCGGGCAGACGCCGGCCGACGCCGGCACGGCCGCGGCCTGGCACCCCATCTCTCAGGAGCCCATCACGGAGCGGCCGGTGGCGTCGCTTTCGGTGGTGGAGGTGAATTTGGATTACTGGCGGGACGGCTGGTACGACACCAACATAGAGCCCAACGACGACCTGTACCCCTCGGACCAGGAGGAGTTCGAGGGCATGCCCCCCAAGTTCGACCCGGTGGTGGTGACGGCGTCCAACGGGCAATTCGTCACCATCCACGACTACCTGTCCACCGTGCACCCATGGCTGGTGGAACGTCGGCTGCTCATCCTTCAATCCAGGTACGAGCTCCTCGACGACAATAAGGTGGTGACGGGCGACGAAAGAATCCTCATCTTCGCGGACCCGCCCGACGGTGTGAATGCCGATCTCGAAGACGAGTGGCTACGGGGCTTGAGGTGGAACTTTGAGCGAGAGCGACAGCGGCAGCAGGAGCAGCAGCAGCAGTAAATTATGGATTAAAGAAGGTATCAGAAGGAAACCCCCGCGTGTGGCACGTCGCAGATCACGTTTAATTGATTGATTATCTATTCCATTAAACATTCACCGCCTACTACCCCATCAAACACCCATCACCTAGCTGTGTCTCTCTGTCGGCCCTGTCTGTAACTCCCCGTATTACTGGACCCTCCAATGAATTCCCTTTACGCCGCAGCCGGGAAGCTTGGATCTCTGACGAGCTTGATGATGATATCCTTGGGCTTCATCTTGGCAGCGACGTACTCGGCCGAACTATACGCCGGGTTGGACTCGTCGACAATAACGCCCAACTGGCCGCCATTCTTGCCGCAGGCGCCGAGGAGGCTTTTTCTGCGCTGGTCCTCGGTTGCGTCCTCGCCGCCGTCAAAAGTGCGGGCCAGGTCGTAGTAGGTAACCCCCGAGTTAGTGCGCGGGTTGATGTGCTTGGCCAGCGCCAGGACGGTACCGGTACCGAACAGGGGCAGCGTCCACTCGGAGCAGTCGAACTCGGTCGGCATGTTCCAGATGGGGTTGTTGTTGGTGTCGGCGAGGTGGCGCAGGTACGAGGCCGCGTATTCGATGTCCTCGGGGTCGAGGTTTTGCGACGTGCCTCCCGCGACGCCGTAGCAGACGAGTGACGCCGTCTCGCCGCACGCCATGCGCTTGGACAGCAGGTTGAGCGGGACGCCGTGGTCGCGGTGCCGTGGTGTCATTTTGCGGGCGACGGCGGCACCGAGGCCGAGGGTGGCGAGGGGCAAGAGGGCAGAGAAGTGCATGGTGGGCAGCGGCTGCGACGATGTCAAGCACAAGAGACCGGGGACAAGAGTGAGCGAGTGTGGCTGTAGGCTGGTGAGGGAGGAAGAGGCTGGCGCGGGTGGGAAGCCAGAACTCTTTGGGGAAACTGAGTGGCGGCTCGTCGGACTGTTTATCAAGTACGGCCGCGATGCCGTCGCAACCTCGGCTCACTCCATAGCTCTATGGAGGCATCTCAATGAAGCCTTGGGCTGGCACGGGGCAGAGCAAGAGAACGGTCACGACGATACACAACCTCACCAACAGCCGCGCCCAGGAGCCGGCTGGACTCGTGTGAACGTGGACAATTGGGGCAATGGCGCCATACGGGTATTTCCCCTCTGGCTTGGCCTCTCAATAGTTGCCGCCAACAGACAAGGCCACTGCATCCTTTGAATTTCAATTTTATGCATCCCCGCCCGCCACTTCATGTAAAACCCTTGGCTGCCCTTGTATCGTCGCATTTGACTTGTGTGAATCGATGGCATTTCCGTTTGGGGGTCTTTGACCGCCCGCTCCCTCAGGGGTTTACAGCCTCGGGATGAAACGTCGACGAAATAAGCACGAATCACGGGCGGGTAAGGCGTGGCGGGTGCGGGGCGAGGCCGCTTGATTCCCTGCAAGGCGGCGCCGACCTAGCAGCCAACAACCGCGTGCATGCGTTCATCAATATTGTAGCGGCTCAGAGATCCGCTGGCAGGCTGACGCTCCACCACAAGGCCCAGACTGCATGTGTACATCGGCCAATGAATACCTACTTTTCCGGATCCAGCACGGCTAGTCAGGCCTGGCCGGCTGGCCCATCCGGCAACCCACTCCGCTTGCGGCCTAATTACCTACATCTATTGTTGGTCCTGTTAGTGTCGTGCTTTCCCGCCTCGGCCGACTATCGTGGGGTGATTACTGCTCCACCGGTGTGGACTGGGTTGGGATAAAAATAGGCATGCAAAAGAGCCAAATCTTGAGGTCGTTGGAGGCCATGGCCGTTGGTTGACATTTTTGCGTGACTAGTAGAAAAGGGGTTGGGCTTGCGATGAGGCCTAGTATCTGCCTAAATATCTAGGTACGTACCAAGGTACCTACCTAGTTACATGCAGCCTTGGCCATTGTAGTATCGACCAGGCGTGAGTTGACTACCTGATCCAGCATCACGCCGACGTGGTACAGTTCCCAGACTGGCATTTCCCCTGGCCGCAATACTCGGGCCCAGTCCCACACTTGCCCTCACTAAAGCTACAGCAGTCGCCCCATTTGCCGCCGCACAGAGAGTAGCCGTGGGTGTAGCCGCAGTTGCCGTCGGTCGTATAGACCTTGTGGCCCGGGCAGAGGCCCTCGTAACAAACCCCGATGGAGCAGTCGTTCTCCGTTTCGCCGCACTTCCATGTTTCCGCGTTGCAGCATTGGCCATGACCGGAGCCGATGCAGGTCGCGTTCTTGTTCTGCGGGCCACAGTTGCCATCCATGGCCCTAAGCGGCTCGATGACTGTTTGCGGGATGAGATGGGAGAGGTCAGCACGCGAAACCGTCCAAAGGAAATATGGGAGGGAACTTGCAGCCGCGAACACAGTATTCGGTAGCTGGCTTGATAGCCTCGCAGCTGGGTGCGAGCGCGGGGTTTAGCTCCCAAAACTTGTCGAGATCGAGGCCGTGTTTCGTGGCTAGCTCATTGCAAGTCCAGTAGCCAACATTGTCGGTCGTTTGGTCCCAGCGGCGGCAGTTGACATCGCCCGGCTTAATTTCGACCGCTGCGCGCAACTCTACATCGGGCTCCATGAATAGTGACGCCAATTCTGGTTCGTCGTCCCATGACCACCGGTGCGGCTGGCAGCCGGGCTCAACCTTTGAGTCTGGGTCGTCGTCGTCCTTGGCCAGACAACGGCCCGTGAGGGCGAAGGTGAGTGAAAGGAAGAGTGGGATTCTCATTTTTGCAAGAGGAGGAGGGGATGATGCAAGAGCAGAGGGGGAGTGAAGAGCTGGCGAGGTTGAACAGAGAAGCAGAGAAGGGGGTGACGAGTTGGCGAGGGTGAAGAGAGAAGAGGGGATGGATGTGCTGGTGCAAGAGCAGAGGACTCGGCTGGTGTCGACAAATGGGTTTCTTTTTCTTGCGGGTTTTCTTCTCTCCCCCCTTTTTCGTTGCCTAGCTGCGGACTCACGAACTCGCTAACAGAGCGCCTTCCTTCACATCTGTTGGTCGTTGTCTCCTGCCGCGGTGGGCGGCGCCGCCTCCATGCGACCTGCATCGTTCGAGTGCCCGCGCAGGCCGATGACGATCCCAACGGCCCACCAAGTCAGACAGGCAGCTGGCCCTGCGCCAACACCGCTAAATCGAACTCAACACATCATTTAGGCTCAACTACCTGTCACCCTGTGTAATTGGACAGGTCTTTGGTATGGAGCCTCGGCCAAATACTGTCTCATCCGGGCGTATTATTCCATGCCTTGGCGGTGCAAGTTGGCAGCCTGTTAGCCGCCTGGCGGGCTGACCAACGAAAGGCCTTTGCATTTCCAAGATGGCGTGATGCTGTTGGTGTTGGGCTTCATTCCTACGAGATTGCTGGCTGTGCGATGTCCACCTGCAGGCCTGGACCCAAAGCCTCGCCTTCTTCGGTGGAGACTTGTATGCCGCGGCCTGGTGTGCCCACGAAGCGGTCAAGAAATGGGTACTCGTCCCGAGGGAATCAAGTATGGTAGGGTTACATGGGCAGAGATGAAGAGCACTCGTTCTAGCCGCAACAGCGGCGAGGCGAGATGCGTCGAGGCGCGCCGCCGCAGAGGGGACTCCGACGGCTGCCGCGTTTGCCCGAGTATGTGGCCATGTTGGCATATACATGGATGTGATTCAAGAACTCCAAAAGGGGCTAGCCGGAGGGGCAAGGGGCATCGGACGCAAGACCGGAAGGTGATATTAAAAGAGCCAGGCAGGATATGGCTTCACTCTCTTCTGGCGCCGCAGCTCAACACACCATCCCCCTCTTTTCTCCTGCGCCTTGTTCATACTTTTTGTTCATGCTTCTTGTTCATGTCGTTACTCTGACTTGGCGACCCATCTCGCACAGCACCAGGCGCAGCCATGGCTCCTTCGGCCTCGGTGCTGTCCTCACTCGTCACGCTAGTCACCCTCTTCGGGTGCGGCGTGCAGGCACAGTACCTACAGGATATCGAAATTCAAGGCTCCGTAGGCCCCAACGGGGTTCAGATCCAGAAGCCTTTCTACCGCGCAAATGTCATCAATGCGGCGCCTCAACAGGTCATCGATCTTTCGCCCGAGCTTGTTGTGCTCGAGTACAACTGCCGCTACATGCCCAACATATGCAAGAATGCCGACAACTGGTTTGAGACGCCGAGAGGAAAGGAGCACAAGCGCAAGTACGGAATGCGCTTTGCCTTCGATCGCAACACTGGCAAGAAGGGTCGAAAAGAACGGCGACGCGACCACAGCTGCAGAAACTTTGTGAATACGGACACCTGCCCACACTCCAACTCGGCCATCGTCATGAGACAGGACGGGCCGTGGCGGTTCAAGGACCTGGAGCCGGGCACCAAGATCAATGAGATCAGAGCCGACACGGACCCAGCCGGCAACCGGCTGCCCTCATTCGTGCGCTACACGTGCGATGAGTTCCCACCCGCGACCTTCATTGAAGGCGGCGACGGCATTGCTGGGAATGCTGACGACAAAAGCCAGAAACGTTGCGCTGTCTCCCGGTGCGCTCCCAAGGGCAAGAACATCAAGGCCGAGCAGGACTGGCAGGGAACGTCTCATAACAACCTACGCATCGTTCTCGATTTAGTTACAAGCAAGCGCAGGGCGGAATTCCCCTGGTACAGCTCCCGCGTTCGCGACGGGATAATATTCTTCGAGCTCAGATACGACAACTCGCGCCCCGGTCCCAGCAACTCCCAGGCGGCCAAGGTCATCCACTACGCGGGCAACAACGCCGCACCGGTGGAGAGGATCGTCTCGCAGGCCAAGCGCGACCTGGCCGCCGAGAGGGCCAACGGCACCATCTCCCAGGAGCAGCTGGATAACGAGGCCTTTTGGAGGTGGGCAAACAATGTCACGGTCAAGGAGCTGCTGGATCTGGGGCCTGAGCATGTCAGCGAGAGGATCATCGTGGCCGACCACATCGAGTCCTCCCCCATGGACATGGAGTTTCCCGACTTCGCAATGAGCCTGCCCTGGATGGACGCCAACCCCCACGCGGCCGACGGCGTCGAGACGCCCGACGCTGTCTCCGGTCCGCCCCGCGCGGACCCCAACAAGCTCAAGAGGCGCCAGGAGGCCCTCGCGCAGGAGGGCGGCGGCAACAGCACCGTCCCCGGCGCCGTGGGCTCGACCCCGCTGCTGCGCAACGCCACCTCGGCGGACCTCGAGCGGGCGCGGAAGCTCGTCGAGGAGGCCCTGCAGAGGTCGGCCGAGCTCAACGCCGCACGTCTGGCGAGCCCGGCCCGCAACAGCTACAAGCTCAAGCCCGGCACCGTTGTTGGGGGCGCGCCGCTGGGGCGGCGCGGGCTCGAGCTGCGGGCGGACCAGGTTGGGGCCGACGAGGCGCCGCCGCCGCTCCTGGACATCACGGACGAGATCGCCGCCGCGGCCGCGCTCGTCTCCGAGGCCGACGCAGTAGAGTCCGGGCTGCCGGGCAACCAGTCTTATGCTCAGCACGCCCGGCGCCAGATGCAGACGACGGCCTCTGGGACGTTCTGGATGGAGAGCATTGCCCGCAGGGGCACTGTGCCCTTTGGCGACGACCCAGACTACAAGGTCTTCCGCAACGTACTCGACTACGGCGCCAAGGGCGACGGCGTTGCCGACGATACCAAGGCCATCAAGGAGGCTATGAACTCGGGCAAGCGGTGCGGCGCAAAGTGCAACGGCTCCACGACCAAGAACGCCATCGTTTATTTCCCGCCGGGAACCTATCGCATCTCCTCAACCATCTCCATGCCATTCGGCACCCAGGTCATCGGTGACGCCAACAACTGGCCTACGCTCTTGGCTACCCGCAACTTCATTGGCCTCGGCGTGCTGGCGGCCAACATGTACACCGGCGGCGGCAAAGGCATCGACGGGCTCGACCAGCAGTGGTACGTCAACACGGCCAACTTTTTCCGGCAGATCCGCAACATCAAGATCGACATCACGCAAACCAGGCCCGCGTCGTCGGCCGCCGGCTTGCACTACCAGATCGCACAGGCTACCAGCCTGCAGAACGTCGAGATCATCGCGCTCCCGGGCTCGACGCAGCGCGGCATCTTCGCCGAGAACGGGAGTGGCGGCGTCATTGCCGACGTGACCTTCAGGGGCGGCAAGTTCGGCCTTTTCGGCGGCGAGCAGCAGTTCACTGCCCAGCGGCTCAAGTTCATTGGATGCGATACCGGTGTGCAGGTCATCTGGGACTGGGGCTGGGTCTGGAAGTCCATCACCATGACCGACGTCGGCGTCGGGTTCCGGCTGCTGCCCGAGTCAAAGTCGACGGCCAAGAGGCAGGACAAGCCGTCCAACGGCAACGTCGGATCGGCCTCCTTTCTCGACTCGACATTCACCAACGTACAGACCGCGATCCTCATTGCCCCTCCCAACAAGAATCCCGGCACAGGCAGCACCGGGATCGTGGTCGAAAACGTCAAGTTCGAGGGCGTGTCCAAGGCCGTGGCCGACACAAGCGGCGCCACGCTCCTCGCCGCCTCTGGCACCGTCACACACTGGGCTCTGGGTCCGGTCTACCAGGAAAAAGGCCCCGATTTCTCCATGGGTGCCAAGGTCGGCAGCTTCCGCCGCCAGCAAGACCTGCTGGACAAGAACGGCGCCTACTTTGAGCGCGCCAAGCCGCAGTACGAGGGGCGGCCGGTCGGCGACTTTGTGCACGTCAAAGACTTTGGCGCCCGCGGCGACGGCGTCACGGACGACACCGCGGCGTTCCAGAACGCTCTGTACGCGAGCCAGGGCAGCATCCTCTTCGTCGATGCCGGATCCTACATCATCACGGGCACCATCATCGTGCCTATTGGCTCCAAGGTGGTTGGCGAAACGTGGTCTCAACTGGTCGCTTCGGGCCCGTACTTCTCCAACGCCGACGACCCCAAGGTCATGGTTGCAGTGGGCCAGGAGGGTAACGTCGGCGACGTCGAGATGCAGGACATCATCTTTACGAACCGCGGCCCCACGGCAGGCTTGATTCTGGTCCAATGGAACGTCCGCGCTTCAGGCCCCGGGTCGGCCGGGCTGTGGGACTGCCACGTCCGTATCGGCGGCTCGACGGGCACAGAGCTGACGCCGGCCGAATGCCCGGCTTTGTCCAGCGGCGTCGCGCCGGGCTGCAACGCGGCCAGCTTGATGATGCACATCACGAAGCGCGCGTCGGGCTATTTCGAGAACATGTGGCTTTGGGTGGCAGACCACATGATCGACGACCCCGACCTCAACGACGCCAACAACACCATGGCCATGAACTCCATCTACGTCGCCCGCGGCCTGCTTGTCGAAAGCGTCAACCCCACGTGGCTGTACGGCACTTCCTCCGAGCACGCCGTCTACTACCAGTACAACTTTCACAAGGCCGAGAACATTTTTGCCGGCATCATCCAGACGGAGAGCCCTTACTATCAGCCCACGCCCAACCCGCCCGCGCCTTTCGAGTCCGCCGTTGGCAAGCTCGCCGGCGACCCGGACTACAGCTGCAAAGCTGGCGACGAGTTCAGCGGCTGCGACGAGTCGTGGGCCGTCATTATGCGCGAGTGTGCCAACATTTTCGTCGCCGGGGCGGGCCTGTATTCGTGGTTTTCAACCTACTCCCAGGATTGTATCAGCAAGCACGAGTGCCAAAAGGTGCTGATGCTGCTCGAGGACAACCACGCCGGCGTGCGGTTCCACAACCTCATCACCATTGGCGCAAAGTACATGGCCGTCATGGACGGCAAGGGCATCAAGGCCCTCGACTACCTCAACGTCGAATCGCACCCGCGCTGGTCCCAGATGACGGTCCTTGACGTTGCCAACGATGGCGCCAAGGCCGAGATGCTCTGGGTCGACCCCAAGATCTGGGACATGGAACAGCCTTCCTTCACGTGCAACCCGCCGTGCCTGGTCAACATCCCGCCCTGGACCAAGGCCACTCGGACCGTTAATTACCCGCTCATCACCGTCAGCAGCGACGACTGGTCGACCACTATCACGCGCTCTCCCGTGACCATCACGCAGGTTCACTTTGAGGCCGTCACCCTCAAGGCGGGCGGCGGCAGCAAGCGCGGGAAGCGAGCCGCGCAGGCCTTTGAACCTTTCTGGCCCAAGCCGGCCACGACCCCGAGCTGGCCCGAGGTGACCTACACGGACCGAGACGGCAACGTGGCCACAACGGCCCCCACCATACCCTTCCCCGAGCCCCCGCAGACCATCGGCCCGGACGCGCCCGCGCCCACCGCGGGCGGCTCCTGGCCCAGGCGGTGGATCATACCGGTCGACGGGCAGGACGAGCACCCGATGGTGGGCAACTGCGCCTGGGACGGGTCCTTCAGCCCCAACTGCATCAACGGCGGCTGGCCAGACATTGAGGAGATGAAGCCCGACCCCGAGGACCCCGGCGACGTGGGCGATGAGGACGCCGCCGTCGTCTGCCCGGATCACACGACCAAGCCCCCGATCCACGAGGTCACGAGCACCGAGAGCTCGAGCTCGAGCTCGACGGCGCCGCCGCCGCCGCCGCCCGAGCCCACGCTCTCGCGCGGGATACCGGGTGCGAACAAAAGGCCGTTCTGCCACAACGGCGGCCAGGCGGCGACGAACGCGCAGCTGCGCGCCGCGGCCCGCAGCTTCTGCCGCGACCTGGGCGCCGAGGGGCGGCCCCTCCGCAACCTCCTCGCCCCCTTTGGCTCCTCGGGCAACCGCTGGACGATCGGCAGGACCTACAACCCGTCGAGCAGCGGCAGCTGGCCCATCTCGATCGACGCGTCGCTCAGCATCCTGCCCGGATGCCAGTTCGTCGTCAACTACGACCGCTGCGAGAAGTACCTGAGCGTCCCCGTCAACAGCTGCAACTGTGAGGGCGAGAACGGGAAGAAGGGCGGGACGATTGGGAACAGGTGCTACGAGTGGAGCATCGATCCCAACCTATAAGGTATCATGGGAAATGCCAGGGGTCGTGTCTGAACCAAATGGTGTCTGCTGGAGCCAGAAGTTGAGGCCGTGCAGGCGGCACTCGATCTCTGGAACCCCACGGGATACATGTATTTAACTAGATAGCTATTGCCAACCGGTTAGCCACAGTCTTCACTCTACCTGTCAAGCAAGACACGAAGCTTTCGCCACCCATTGGGGCACGGCGACTGCTAGTAGGCGCGATAAGCACACCTGTAAACCCAGCACGCCGAGCTAGTTGGCTGTTTACGTCACAAAGGTAAAAGGCTAGATGTCACGCACAGCACTTCTTGTCCGCAAGGCTGAGCCTGACCATCTCGCCTTGAAGCCGTGGCTATCCCATATCAAGGGGCAAACTACTATTCGGTGGCAACCAGACTGGGCGACCCGGAAACGGCACTTCTTTGACGCCGGAGAAGCGACTGTTGGTGCGTTTCTACCGCTGCACAAAGGCGCTCCGCGCGGAGTGGTTGTGTCCAAAAGACTACACTGGGATCAGGTGCAAAGGCAAATACATTTACCAGTGTCTTCACCGGCACCGAAGCCGGGCCCAACGGCGGCACCGACGACGGCACCGCGTGCGCCCGTTTCCGCCTCCCACCAACGTGCGGCGAGGTTTTGCGCCTCGCGAGCAAAAGAAGTACCGGCATGTACTTTCGCGCCAACGATCACGATCTTGGTCACTTCACACGCGGTTATCGGGCGCATCAAGCCTAGCGCACACCCTCAAGTCGGAGAAAGTGCGACCAACCACCACCCCCCCCCCCTCTTCTTCATCACACGCCACGAAGAAAAAAAAAAAAGTAAAAGTTTCCAGCCAGGATAATAATGTACGGCACTTCCGACGTGGTTGCAGCCAAGGGCAGGTTTTCCGTCAGACTTTAGTTGGGGTGTATCGGGGAGGCTCCGATTCGATAGGAAAAAAAACATAAAGATGGAGAGGAGACGACTGAAAACAAAAACAAACAAAAAGTGACCACAAGAAAAAAAAACAGGGCTAGGGGGCCAATCACGATGGCGGTCACAAGCGCTTTTTGGGCCTTTTTTATTGGTGGTCTGACCTACCGCCCCCAAACCCATGGGCGAAGCAAGAGAGAGCATGTACAGCGTCGGCATGAGCATCAGGTCGAGTTTATGCGTTGGAAGGATCAAGTCGACGTTGCCTGGGCCGTGGTGGTGGTGGTTGGGTTGGGGGAGGTCACCCCCCTGGGCAACGCCTGACCCTGACCGTGCCATGATGCATTCCATTCAATTTCTCGGAGCCCGCGGGTGACCTCACCCACTTTGAAATGCACTGCGAAAGCCGCGTTGTAACAGACAGACATTCCTTTCCCCGTTGCAAGTCTTCACATCGTCGATGAACCAACTACCTAGGTACCAACCTACCGCTAAGGCATGCAATTGCTCATGTGTGTCACACGCACACGCCTCCCCGCTGGCCTGGGCGGCTCGACACGTAGTTCGGCATCCTTTATGTATGCATGCGACCTCGGGGCGCAGACGACGGCGTCAAGTGCTGCCCGCCTTGCATCCCCGATTGCTTTAGTCGGGGGGGGAGGGGGCGGCAAGACGAACGCCAGACCGGGCCCAGGCCCCCGAACCCGCATTTGCTGTGTTTTGCTTCGTTCTGCTTCGTGTTGATGAGCACCTTGGGCAAGTAGGGACGGGAGAAACTCGAGCCGGCGGGTACGTATACAGAAACAGGGCCGGCGTTGGCATTGAATTGCATCGAGGCCGGAAGCATGGCGCCACTTTACGCCATCACCACGAATCCCCCAGCCGTGCTCAGAGTCCCTGGTGTTTTGTCTTTTTTTATCATATTTCATTCCCAGACAAAAAATTCATTGATAAATACACCGATAAATTTGTCTTTTACTCTTTTCCATTTCTTTTCTATTATTTAATGCCTGCCACGGAGAGGCCGGCGCCACGGCTAACAACAGCCTGTCTGAGTGGCCCATGCCATCCCAATCGCACACGCCTCCTTCATTAACGGCGATGGGTCTCCAGATATCAAATGGGAACCCCACGCCAACCCATCCTTGCCACTCCACACTCGGTGAGCGGCCCTGTGTAGGCTCCGCTGGACCGACCCGGCGGGTGCGAAATCCCCTCCCCAAGGTGAAGGAAGGATTTCCAGGTTCGGCTGGTGGAATGGATAGAACCGCCAACGACCCAGTCAGGCTGTTTTCCCCCAAAGGGGAACTCGATCCCGCGGAGAGGCCAGCAGCCAACAACCACCATGGCTGATCTGTTACCAGCATCTCCAAGGCTCTTTATCCACGGGCTCCGCTTCGTCGTGCCTTGTCCGCCGAACCAAGGCCGTGGGTGATTTCGGAGTAAGGGGGTGGAAAGGAAAGAGGTCGGTTCTGTCGTCCCCGTAGACGAAACCAACAAACCCATAAGCCATGATTTGCGTGCACCTGGTAGAGAGCAGCTACAGTCAAAAAAAGATTTCCAAAGTACCTGCCGTAGATGGAAACATGTCCGCCCCAAGCGAGGCATTTAACGCACATCCGCACATGTCTGATAGGCTTCGGAAAAATCACGAGGGAAAAAAAAGACCACGCTCCACGCCGAGGAGATCTCCTTCGCAGCGTACCCCATTGACTGAATGTCACCGGAGAAATCGTCAACGATATCTCATGTGAGACAGCAGACCGTCAAGCACCCCCACGAAGGATTCCGCGGTGACTTGCTATGTCCAGCGCGGCCGCCGTTGTCCTTTCGTGGCACGTCACAGCGAGGTGTGCCGATCTCTTTTTTTTTTTTTCTTTCTTTTCTTCGGGGGGCCAGCAGGCGGTTTGCGGTGTTGTTGTTGTCATCCAAGAGAGCTGTCACCTGTTTTTCACGGCATTGGGCTGCTCGCTCGGCACCTTTACGGGCGTCAAAGGAAGGATCTCGATCTCAAATGTCACCACGTTCCACGCCACGTCCTTTCTTCGCCCACAATAATCCCATGCGACTGGTCAAACCTGTCTTTTTTTTTTTTTTCATAACGTCGAGCCCGACAGAATGGTGAGCTGACACGTGCTCCCTCCCCTTCGGCGTAAAGCCAACGACCACACCCTCAGTCGGGCCTACCAAAAGTCCAGGGCCACGTGGTGTGGATCCTTATTCCATTTCGCCTCACCGAGGCTTTTCAGGGAAGCCCGGCCGGGCGCCTGCTCGCCTGATGCCCGCCGCGGC